CATAATGCTCTACTAAACACTAAAGAGACTTTAGTCCAGGGAGACTCCTTCTCATAAATTGCTTTCTTGTAGGTATTTTTTTGAATTCACCCTAGATAGTTTTGTCTTTGCTTTTCTGTATTGGCTGCATATTACTTTCATCCAACTAGCACAACTCCAGGTACTTCATTGGAACATTTTTCAGAGTTTTCTACATAAATTCAAGCAGTATTATCTTCTGGTTATTTTTTAGTAGTGCACTCAAAACTGTCAAACAGATTATACAGCAGTAACTCCTGTTAACTGTTTTTTTGCTTTGTGCTCCATCAGTAAGACACAGATAATTACTTTGGATCTGAACTTCTCTGACTGACTGATGGTTCAGTTAATGCACAGAAAAGACAGAAAGCTCAGCAGGTGCTGAGCAGTTCATTACACACTCACAAAGTTGTCTTCAAGTTGCCACTGATTCTGAAAACCACACCTACTCTGATTTTGTGGTGCAATATGATACAATACTAAAATGCATAGGGTATACATATTTACCCATGGAAAGAGTGAAAATCATAGTATTTCTACAGCAGGGATCAAGGTTTTTCTGTGGCATCCAACCAGTCGTTGGAAAGTCATGTCAGTGAGGACATGTCTGAACTACATTAATGCAAGGAAAAAAAAAAGCATTTTGCTCCAGAGAATTTAGATTTCTCTTATTTTTCACACACTTTACTGCTATAGTGTTCCGTGTAAGACATAAATATATGCTTCTTTCTAACACCTTCCAATGGAAGGTGATCATCTTCCTATGGAACAAAATTATATACTTAAAAAAATAAGTAAATCCCTTCAACATTACTAGGTAAGCATTTCTTTGTTCCTTTTTTTAATTCTTTCTTTTCCTTTTTTTTTTCTTTGTTCATTGTTTTAAACATCTTCACCATCCCTTTAAGGCCAGATACAAAATGGTTGGTCATTTGAAGTGAAATAAAGGCCAGGTGCACATAGCAGTGTCCAAAATAAACCCTGAACAACTCTGCTGAGCTGTTGTTGGACATAAGCAGACCAAAGACAGGATAGAAAAGGCTCCTGGGACAAGGTCTGCAGCTCAGTATGTTCCCCATCTGTCCAAGTCTTGTCCAAGCTGAGGCTAGCAAAACCAAGCCCACTCCTAAATTTAGCCAGGTCCAGAAATGACAATTTTTTCAGCCGAACAATTTGGCAGCCTCTGTTTGGTCCCATGTACCCAAAGCATAGAGCAAAGCTGCTCAGAGTTGGGCTGTGCTTTCTCCCAGGCCCATCTGCTGTGTTTTGGCTGCAGAGCAGCCTTCTCCCAGCAGATAGGTGCTCTATCCTCTCCTCATGCTTAGGATGATCTCCAGAGAGGTGGGATGTGACTGTGAAGGCCCTGTGTCTATGGAACCACCCACTTTCCAGGCAATGGGAATTAAAGGGAAGGGAAAATTAAGAACTTCTTCAAGATTCATGACTGATGGCAGCCACTCAGGAGTGGGTTTGGCAGCCACTCAGGAGTGGGTTTGGGTCATAATTTCCCTGCTGCTTTCATCAGTGAGACAGCTGGCATTGGAGCCAGGGCAACCTTCCACCCTGATGACTTAAGGACCAGAATGAAGACTGATGTTCAGTGCTGCTTTGAACTTGAGCTACCAACTGGCATTAAAGTTACATAAACTCACCACTACCAATCTCTCACACAATACTTAAAAGTTAGCACTTAACAATCACACACTTTCCTTTTCACTTGAATAAGCCAACATTAACCCCTCTCTCAATTGCCAGATGCTCTAGAGCTCTACCTTACTGTGACAGTGCCAAAAGTTAGGCCAAGTGTACATCCATTTTCTCTCATTGTCACCAGGAACTAGTCTTTATTTCATTATTGTATGTACATTCCAGTGGCAAAAAAAAAAAAAATTGCAAAGCCTTGGAAAACTAGTTAGGAAATTACTTGGATCTAGATTTTGACATGACAACTGTTAATCAATTTAGTCAATTGTGCTCAAGATTAGCTCATGAAAAGGGCCTAATTTTGTTAGACAGATTGTTTTATGTTAAATTAGCATTAGCAAAACTTGGTTTTGCTTGTGGAGAATCAGGTATTTTGCAAAGCATACAATTACTCCTTTTTCCTAAGGGCCATATTCACTAAAAATAAGCTTATGCACTAAAGAGGAAAGTATGACTTACTACATTATGAGTATTCACTTCTTACTCACAGACAAAACTCACTAGTGAAAACATTCCTTGAATCCACAAATGGGAGATTTGTTGACTGCAGGTCTTCACAGATCTGCCCTCTCATGGTTTCTTCTTCCCTCAGTGGGAGAAGTAGAAACCTACATTAGGTGGGATGGGCCTCCCGGTAGGTCTTCCAAACAAGTGTGCCTTCTTAAATTCAGCTGCAGTAGGGCTCTCTTGCTTGGTCTCCTGCCAGACATGATGATGCTTACTTCCCAGACCTTCCTTTCATGTTGAAAGAGGGTGCATAGGGGAGGGAAACATTAATCTGAATTAAAGTGTTGTACTTCACTTTCTGTAAGGTAAAAGAAGAAGATAAAGCTTTTCCTCTGTTCTCAAGATAAAGCAGTTTATGATCAAAGACAGAAGGATAACTGGAGTATAAAACCCCTATAGAGAAATGCTATGAAGTTAACAGTTTTAGTGAATCTGGCCCTAGGCAGCACCAGTTTTCATTAGCTGAAAGCTCTTAACCTTTCCCTAAGATAACTTACTGTAAATGAAAGCCAAGTGGGACAGATTCTCAATTGCCTTGTAGCTTTGCAGTTAAACAAAGAGTGTGCTTCACATCGGTTTGCACAGACTTGAAAAGTCATGCAAGGACAAAGAAGAATCAGTCCCACTAGCTCACTGCTACAAAAGAATTTACACTACCTATAAAAGAAACTGACACTCTTCTCTTCTTTCACCCTTTGACAGCACTCGCAAACAAAATTACATGATGAATTTTTCACGGCAACATGGGCTCAGGCATTTCTACAACAGAAGACAAAGGTCACTTAGACGATATCCATGAAGAAACGAGAAATTTATTTTTTTTCCTCCCAACATGTGATGTGTTGCTTTCCATTCTTTAAATCTAGCACTGCATCTGGTATCAGGACTTTTCTGCAACTGGCTTGATGAATAACTGAAAGCCTTTTTCAAGACAGAGTATACACCACTTTTTCGCACTGTGAATTAATGAGAAGTGACTTATTTTCTCATAGGTAAATGTTTTAATGTTGATGTGTCTGTGAAAATTGTGATCTGTTGTAATATCCGTTACAGTGGCAGTATTGGAAGTAAGCAACTAATTCTGTTTAACAGGAAAAAACGTTTAAGCACAAAGACTTTTCAGATTTTATGTTCATAAAAACCTACATACTAAGAACAGAATTTAACATTCTTTGTCACATAGTTATTTAAGTGCACTGTATTTCAGCTCTGTGTCATTTTATATGATTAAGTTATCATTGTTTGTCCTCTTCGTATTCTCTTCTACAACATGACACATTGGCACTGTATTTACTTGTTTTGTTGTTGTAATATTTTTGCTGCTGATTTTTGGGCTATTTACCTTCTTACAAAATGTACTTAAAAAGTCATCTAAGTACCTAATCCAGAAGATAATTGCAAAAGTAGTTGTAAAGGCGTTGATATCCTTCGGTCTTATTCTTTGATATGTCTGTTGGTTAGCATTGTTTTGTGGATAAAAAAAAAAAAAAGAATGCTTGACATTAAACTTTTTTCTACTAAGGATTTGTGGATTAAGCCCCAAACAGAAATTCCCAATTCCCTGTCTAAATGTAGTCAGTTCTCTGAAACTGATTTACTTACAGTAACTGCCATTTGGTGTCTGTAGTAATGAAGTGATTTGTAAGCAGTGAATGTTTCATTGTGTTCTCTTTGGTGTTTGTTTCTATTGCGGGTCATGTTTGTATCTTCTGATAAAGTTGTATCTACACCAGCAACGTATAATGCCCCTATAGCCCTGAACTGTCTATTATCATAAATCAAATGCTTCACTTTATGGTGAACCAAGCTAAAGATCCATGCTTGAATAAAGATAATGTCAACAAAGAATTCTGATGTTAGACTTTTCAAGCCATGTGGGCTTTACATGAAATCATAAACCAGATTCTTCCACTAAATAACTAGATTGTAAAGCAAATGTTAATGTTATTTATTTTTAATATTTAGTACATCACACTTAACAGCACTTTGCAAGTAACAGCACTTTGCAGGAGATCTCCCTGTCCCACCTATGGGCATAACACAGGCCTTGGAGCAGGCCCTGGTGCAATGAATGAAACAGGACCACAGAGCAATATGCACTCTCGCTTTATCCGTAAACCAAAAAATGTAAACCACTGTTTCCAAGCTCTGAGAACATGAGTGTGGCACATAAGGAACCTTGTTCCAAACAGACTAAGCTGGTAATTCTTAGAATTATATGAGCCATTAAGGTTGGAAAAGACCTTTAACACCAAGTCCAACTGTTAACCCAGCACTGCCAAGCCCACCACTAAACCATGCCCCTAAGCACCACATCTATACATCCTTCTAATACTTCCAGGGATGGTGACTCAGCCACTTCTCTGGGCAGCCTGTGCCATGCCTGACAACCCTTTCAGTGAAGAAACGTTTAATTATATCCAATCTAAACCTCACCGGGTGCAACTTGAGGCCATTTCCTCTTGTCCTATACTTTGCTACTTGAGAGAAGAGACTGCTTTCCACCTCACCACAGCCTTCTTTCAGGTAGTTGTAGAGAGTAAAAAGGTCCTGCCTGGGCTTCCTTTTCTTCAGGCCAAGCAATCCCAGTTACCAGAGCCGCTTCTCATCAGAGAGAAGTATCATATATACATGCTGTTCTCTTACATCTTACACATCTGCTTCTGGTACTATACCCACCTAAACCAGAATGATGATCCATGTTCACGTGAACCATGTGTTTAATTTTTAGGAGGATTTTGACCACAGGTACCTGAGCAATGCAGGAAAAAAAAAGGAGGTTGTTCAGTGACCAACTAGTCAACTCCTTGGCTTGATCAAAATTAGGAAAGATCTTTGGATGACCTGGAAACTTGCTGCAACAGTCCAACCTCCTGAAAACTCACTGTACTGTTCTGGAGTGCTTTGTGTGCTTTCAATTCCTGAAAAAATATAACAGTTCTATTCAGAGAAGTAGCAGGAAGACAAAACACGGGCGTATCAAAGAATATAGCAACTTAATGTTTGGGCACATGATTTTAAAATATTGTAGTAAGATTTTTGCCCATTGAACAAACAAAACCACAAGATCTAAACATTCCTATTTTTTAAGATAATTTTATTTGCTTTAATATGTCAATAGAAGGGTGATAGTTCAATCTAAAATGCATGTACAGCTAATGTGCTTCCAGGAAATTAATTTTTTTTAAAGACTAGATTCAATGAGGCACTTTTCTTGACTTTTCAGGCAAGAGATCAGGATAACCAGAGAAGCTACTTTTCATAGTAATATTTATTTCCTATGAATAATGTATGGAATCACAACCACAGAGGAATGCCACAAAGCATTTTACCCAAACTCACCACAAACTCTGCGCAGCCTTTTTTCTCCCTCACTGGAAGATTCCCAAGTGGTATTATCATCTGCCCTTTCCAGACTCCAGGAAGTTCTTCCTTAGACTTTTTCCAGTCCTACAACACCCCACATAGCATACATATATGGTGTATTAATGTGGGTTTTTTTTATTTTCCCTCCCACATGGCTGAAAGCAATGAGTCACCTGACATTAAGCAGTTGTTAAAATAGCAAGGGTGGCACAAAAGATAAGCAATGGCAATAAATATGCTGTTAAATGTACTTATAAGCTTATATACTGGTGTAAAACTTTCTCAGACATAGCTGTGAAAACTGACTTTTAGTACATTTAGTATATCTTACAGTCTTCCTCATGCTCCAGTAGAATAGGGAGAACATAAGAGAAATGAAACTGACCCACTGGAGTTCCTGAAATAAACAAAACCTGAAGTTCTCATAATTTTGCCTAAATGTTTTTCTCTCAAGCTTGCTTCATCCAAAGATGATAATATTTTCTTAATGGGAGGAAATATGCAGAGCACCATTATTTTTAATAATTAAATAACACAACAAATTCACTCAAGGACAAGACATTGTCAAAGAAAAAGGTACCAGCACACAAATTGGGTAAATACCAGACTAGCCAAGAAAACTATAGATGTAGAATCAACAGCATAAAGCAATTTTTAAAAATGCCATTTTGCATTCCATCAGTGGAAGTGTTTATGATAAAACACAGTAAATATAAATACGGCTGCTAGTGCTGGTAAAGTAGACAGCAGTTGGCAGCTGTTGAGCCCTTCACTTAAATATAGATGTAAACAAGTTAGAGAGATTGCAAAGCACTGCAGCAGAAACAAGACCCTTGAACCATGAGTTTCCAAGTAGAGGGAGTTGTTTAGTCTAAAAGGGAAAACATTTGGAAAGAGGCGTGACAACATCCATAAACATGGTTCTATGTTTAATTTACTTGCTAACCCTTCAGGGCAAATGTTACTGGGTGGAAATGCTGCCACAGCATCACCTCATCATTTATCTACTGGCAGTCAATGGGATTGGTTATTATCAAAGCAGGAAGCCAGTGTGAGGCCCCAGATAAACCCTCCTCAGATCAGCTCTGCAGTGAGGTTTAACTAGTGACTCAACACCGGAGGAACAGGAACAAGCCAGCTGCAAAGGGGAGCTGCCTTCACCCTGAGCTGGCAAGGGAACCTCAGAATGAAGGGCTTCAGCAAAAGGACTCGCCTATGTCAAGCATGGCCCTAAAGAGCTGTTTAGGGCTGTTAGCTGAGACCATGCAACCACTTGCAGTGCTTCTGTGAAGGAGCAGACAAAGTATCCACCACAGGTGGTGGACCTGTTGCTGGAAAGGAAGACCATGACATAGATGAATTGCCCAGTATTCTCCTCTGTTGCTGATGTCTTCTGACTGTTGCTTTTTCTTCCTCATGTTACTCCTGGTTCAGCTAAAGGGACTGAGCTGGCAGTAAGCCTAAAGACTTAGTTCCTGTATGGCTAATTACTACAGAGCCTGGTGGGGAGAGTTTTAGCTGGCACGCAGCAAGGCGAGGCCAAGTAAAAATGCTGTTCCAGGAATGGAAGAATACCATACTGGAGGATGATGATAAATGCTAGGTTTATAAACAAATTTCTTAAGCTTCTTTAAAAAAATAAGAGAATGTGGTTGTGCTTTTGAGCTCTGCTACTCAGGGGAGGTTTGTGCAAGTTAGTGGCAAAGAAGCAATGTCAGAAGTCTCAGCTGTTTCCCTGATGGCATCCGGGCCAAAGGCAGAGCTCACAGAGTCTAGTCACAGGTTTAAGGACTACTTCTGCATGAGGATGACATTGCTGACACCATGAAGCTGGCTGATACCCCAGATCCCTCTTTCCTTGCACACTTATCATATGCATACATGCAGGCCTCTGCTGATATCCTATAGCTCCAGGTGGGCTAGAAACAGCACCTGCAAAGCCATTCAACAGGTTTATACTCACAACTGGACACCCAGCTCAGCTGATTTAAAATCACACTCTTCTTAGGGGAAATGTTGAATTATTTGAGTTCAGCCATTTTCAAGGAACTTCAGTGCAAAGAAAAGAAAATTTCCCTCTGCTAGAACAATTGTTGGTATGGACAATAACAAAGCTTGACATGAGTTATGTGTCTGTATAGGATGTGGGTAGCAACTAATTAACAGCAGCATTTTGAGAACCAAGCCTACTGCCACTGAAAACAGTGGGAAAATTCCTGTACATCAAATGTGTTTCACTTCATATGGAAATGTCCACTTCAGCTTTACTAATTCTGGTTTGACCTGTCCTAGCACCTGTGTAAGACCCCAAATATATACAGGGATTTTTCTGCCTTAGAAAGCTGTCTTATTCTCAGAAGATACATGAGGATAGTTAAGGTGTGGTGGGGAGTGAGCTAGTTGATGGAGCCCCTCTGACCCATTTGGGATGTTCCATATGGGAAGTGTATGCCAATGACCCGGTGAGAAGTGTCAGAAGTCTGCCCTCCCAGCCCCCAGCTACCTCCCTGCCCATACCCACCATCAGTGGCTGTTGGAGGAAGTTGAGAAACAACCAGCCCAACAGCTGGAGCTCCACTTCAGGCAGCTGTGAGTGCTGGATCTGGCCTTTGACAGCAGCTCACAGCTTTCTTTATGCTGCTGGAAAGCAGTGGTTCCCACTGTTCCATCTCCTGAAAGCCAGCTGAGCCCCCAGACCTCACACTGAGCCCTCTGTCATAACACAGCTCCAGTGGAGTGTGTGCACCCTTAACTAACACTCCACAATTATCCTCCACAGGAGTGTTTTTACTCTCCTCAATTGTCTACACTGTTTATTCTGCATTAACTTTCCCTCCCTATTCTTGTTTTGACCAAAAATCCTCTTTTCATCTTGCTGCTACTGAGTTTAGCATTTTATTAATCCCTGTCCTTCTCCTAGAGCTGAAGAACCACAGCATCTTTTACCATTTTAGACAATGCTGGAAAGAAGCAATAAAAATAATTATTAACCTCTGAGTGCATCACACTAAAATGCACACAAAAAATTAAAACCAGCTTGTATTTAAATGCAACCATTGACACAATTAGTGTGAAATAATCCTCACGATTACTGGAACATTCAAGATCTTTCATACCTGGGGGAACTTTTCTAGCAGGAAATCAGCTAATCTGTGTTTGTTTGAGGCTTTCTCTTCTCCTTTCTCTTTGTGCAGGATGTATAAACGGGTCTTCCTGTGGTATGTTACTGCAATGTATGTTTTACTGGGAACAAAATATATCAGAATTTCACTACCAGGCAACAAAATAGATCAGAATTTCACTACCCTCATAAGTTAATTACACCTCCATTCTAACACAAGCTACAGATTTCCAAGTTCAGGAAAGAATTAGCTTTTTGGATAAATAACTGAATCGACAAACATGCCTTATCCAAAGTATTTCCACTTACCCAGTTCTGTATAACAATGGCATCCAACATCAGTCCAAACAAAGTCTGTGGCATTACCTATTAATGAATTTTTTCAACTAAATGCCTTTTTGTTACAGTCTGTTTTAAGTAAACAAACCTCATATTTAAAAGCAACTTTAGAAATGTTTTGACCTTGAAATTTCTCAGTTTGACAATACTGAAATTTAAAGTGCTGTATTTCACCTTGAATACATTTACAATTTATTTAAGTTACTCTTACATTCTTACAAGGGCTGCCATGTCAAGGAATCATTTAAAGATTTTCAAGTAATACAGTCCTGTATACATCAGTTTCACAAAATTTTTCATGCTCTTAGTGCATAAGTTTCAAAGTTGGGAAAAAAAACTTCTAAAACTCTGTGTAGAAACCCAAATCTGGGAGGTGGGAAAACATTTTTGTCTTGAGTGAAAGAGAGCAATCATGATAGAAAACATGATAAACCAAGGACTGACAGATGAGATCTGTGAAGACATTTCCCTACCAATTCCTGCATATTCACAATGTATTCTCTACACCCCTACAGAAATGAAAAACCGCACCCAGATAGATATTTGGGGAAAATGTGAACAGTTCGGTTGTTCGGACACTGGAACAGATCGCTCAGGGAGGTGGAGTCACCATCCCTGGAGGTGTCCGAGCCGTCAGGATCTGGCGCTGGGTGATGGGGGTTCGGGCTCACAGGGTCACTGCTTGGCTAGCAGCTGTACTGGGTGATGTTAAAGCAGCTGTACTGGGTGGTGTTAAAGCAGCTGGACTGGGCGATGTCAAAGCACTCTCCCATCCCTGCTCCCTCCAGGGCTCCGCGGCTCTCTCCGAGCCGGCGGGGCTCGGCCGCGGCCGCGCCCGCACAGGCCGCGCCACCGGGGGCGCGCCCGGCCCCGCGGCATCCTGGGACTCGTAGGCCGCGGCGGGGACGCGCCGGGCCGGGGCTGCCGGGGGGACTACGAGTCCCAGGCGTGCCCGCGGCCGCGGGGCGGGAGGGGGCGGGAGCGGGCCGGGGCTGGCGGCCGCCCGCGCCCCCGGGCTCCTCACCTTGGAGCGAGCGGCGGCTGCGGCTGCCGGGCTGGAGGAAGGCGCAGGGAGCGGAGCGGAGCGGGCGGGGCTGAGTGCGAGGTCAGTGGCGGAGGGGGTCTCTCCCCTTGAGCGGATCTCCCCTGAGGGGAGCCGCGAAGAGCGAGGGCTGGGGTCGGGCTGTCCCCGTGCCTGTGGCTCTCGCTCGGTCACCCCGGGCCGCGGTAGCCTGGGGGTGTCGCTCCGTGCCGCCCCCTCTCCCTTCCCCCCTCATTGGCCCCGGCGGAACAGCCGGAGCCCCGCGTGCGGCAGCCGCGGTCCGGGACAGCGCCGAGCCGGGGCAGCAGCCAAGGGCTCCCGGGCAGCGCCGAGCCGGGGCAGCAGCCAAGGGCTCCCAGGCAGCGCCGAGCCGGGGCAGCGCCGAGCCGGGCAGCGCCGAGCCGGGGCAGCGCCCAGGGGGTCCGGGCAGCGCCGAGCCGGGCAGCGCCGAGCCGGGCAGCGCCGAGCCGGGCAGCGCCGAGCCGGGCAGCGCCCAGGGGCTCCGGGGCAGCGGCGGCACCCGCGCCGCTCGGCGCTGTAAAACGCGCAGCACCCAAGGGGAAACCAGAGGGAGGGTGAGAGATCAGTCATTTCCTCGTGTTGTGGCTGCGCCCCTCCGGCTGTGAGCTGCGGGCTCTCCGTTTAGGTCGGAGCGACTCTCCCAAGGAGTTTTGTAACAAACAAAGCTACCTGCTCTGCGCTTCAGTACTAGCTTTAACCCAAAGACCTTCAAAACCTTTCCAAAACTTCGATTAAACTACCCGCCCCCAACCCCTTCGTGCCTTTCCACTTTTCAGGCAAAGAAGATTGTGCCTTTCCCTATGTCAGTGTTTTTCAGCTTCAC